GGACTTTAAACCCAATGGTGCCATTAGAAGAAGGCTTATGAAGACAGAAAGATATAGCCTTGTGAAGTTGGAGGCAGAAACTGGGGTAATGTTACTACAAGTCAAAGAATGCCAAGGATTGTTGGAAACCACCTGAAAGTAGGAAGAGGGAGGCAATGATTCTTCCTTGGAGTGTCAGAGGAAGCATGGCTGTGCTGCCCGAGTGTCCCACATTTTCAGTTTGTCCTTTTGTTAGGGGGAAAGGATGTCCTGAGCTAATTTCATACAGGCTTTGTGGACTCCACCCCCACTCCAGACCAAAGTCCTCAGGACATTGGGAAAGACAAATCCCATCACCACCAAAGGGAAGGTTGCTGGGACCTGAGGGTGGAGTTAAGCAGCCAGGTTTGGTATAAAATCAGACATGTGGGCCTTGGGGAGTCTCCTTCTTGGCCTCCTGGCTCTTGGCTCTTCTCCAGCTCTCAGAGTGCCATTTGGAATTCCAGGTCGGCAGAACAGGTAGGACACATTTAAGACTTTATCTACCACTTTTCTCCCTGAGTTGTACATTTCCTCATTTCCCCATTCCTTGTAAATAAAGTTTTTACTAATCTTTTGTGTGTGCCTGCAGTAGAGTATTAATAAGTCCTTTTTAAGCGCATGGGTGAGGACCCACAGTCAGGCAACCCATTTTATATTGGGGCTGCCCTGTAACAACTTTTTTTTAAAGATTTATTTATTTATTTATACAAGAACCAGGGTATAACTGGTCAGAGGTGTGGGAGGTCAGAGGTGTGGGAGGGTGAGAGGATTCACCAGAGACAGAGTGGGGAACAGAACAAGCAGACTGATGAAATACACTGCAGCGTATGGGACAGGTCTGCCACGCCATGTGGGACCCTCGGGCCGGCCGGGATCGAACCAGCTGCAGAGGCTGTGGACAACTTCACAGCGCTGCGCTCAACCACCTGCACCACCAAGGGAGGCCCGTTTCAGTTTGTCCTTTCTTTAGAGAGGAGGACACAGGACAGGTTATGGAATGGGTAGGAAAAGCAGAAATTGTAGGAGGTACTCAGCCATCAAGCCCGTGGGAGTCTCAGCCTGGTCTGTGCAGGCGCCTTCTCACGATGGGGATGAGTAGCTCAGTGCTGGCTTGGGGCCACTGCCCCTGCTCAGGGCCAACCTGCTCTGGTTTCTGACTCCTGGTTCCCACTGACAGCTGTCAGCCACTCCTACTGCAAGGCACACTGCTGCCAGACCTGCCTTTCTGTCACAGGAGTGCTTTAGGGCACGGTGCATGCAACCTTCAGTTGCTGAACAGATCCAGGTCAGACAGAGCTTTAAGCCACTGCTGCTACCCTGGGAGCAGGATGCTGTGAGGCGAGAGTGCTGCTCTGGCAGTCAAGCACATGGAAGACTGCTGCACCTCCCCCTGCAGTGACCTTTAGGGCTAACCTGCCCTAGGTCCAGCTGGGCAACCAGCGCGCAGGGGAAGAACAGCAAAACCCTACCTGCTAGATCCGGCTGGGCAACCAGCGCGGGGGTGGGGGGGGGGGGTGGGGGGGAGGTGGGGGGGGGGAGAACAGCCTGAAGCAGAGGAAGTGCAGCGGAAGTTCCCTGAAAAGGCAGAAGCTTATCAAAAGATAACGACCACCAAGAACCACTACAAGAATGCTAAAAATCTTTTCCCATCTTTCTAGAACTACAAACTTTAATCCCTTATCTGTCTTTCTAAACTTGCTCCTTTCTTCTATAATGGTCATTGTTTGTTATGTAGATCACCTCCCTGATGGTGATAGACTGAGCCCATGAGCAAGCTAATTTCTTTGATATTCATTCCTGTGCTTTTGGAAAACATATATATACTGGTCACAAACTCAAAGAAAATCACACTCAGATTTTCACTCTTGAAGTGTGTCTGTTTGTCATTTCTTTCGCTGACGCCCTGACCACCCTGCACGCTTCTCTCAACCCTGAGGTGGCCTCATCGTCTACTGCTGTGCTGGTCCGCGGCAGAAGACAGTGGTCCCTGTGCCCAGGCAGCAAGAGTCATCCTATACCTGATAAGTGGGAGGACTCACAAATTTCTTGGACATCCTGGCCCACTCCCTGCAACTCCTAGAACAGCAGAGGTGGTGAGTGAATGATGCTGGAAGGTGGAAGGAGTTTTCCAGACTCCAAACTCCCTGATTTCCTGAACAGGGGCTGTTGGGAGCAGAGAAGAGAGCAACCACAAAGACTAGAGGGGCCAGAACATGGGCGGTTAACTCTTGAAGTGAATTGCCTCCAGTCCTTCTGATCTGTGGGCTGCCCTTGCTTCCTCCTCCAGGTGTAGGGTTCTGTCCAGGTGCTTGCTTCTGTCTGCTTTTGAAAGCCAGACCAGCGGCTACCTTCTTCACCACATGGTGGCTCCTGGCATACTGCTTCTGATTTGCAGATTGGTCCCTTCTTCCACACTGCTCATCCAGGCCCGTCTTGCTCAGTGGGCCAGCTGCCACCTTGCATGTGCAGCTCCTGCTTCCTCTATTGAGTGAGCCAGGTGCCATCTTGCCACTGCTTACTCTTGCTTCGTATCTAGTTTATGAACCATGGCCACTATCTGGGGCAGAAGAGACTGCAACTGGCTATGGGCCAGCCTCTCTTTTTTCACTCCCTGTAAGCAGTCCTGTTGTTTCTCCCCATATGTCTGCTTTTGAGTTGTGGCTGCAGCCTATGGACATGACCCACCAATGGTCACCCCCTTCCCCTCCAGGCTTGCTCAGTCACTCATCTGAAGGCACCAGGGTGCTGAAGGGAGATTTCTGAAGTGGTAGGCAGCTGCTGTGGGGACAGCAGAGCTAGAGGCCCCTAGAAGGAATGCTGCTCAGCCCCATGGAACACAATCATCAAGAAGCAAATACTCTGAAAGGGAAGCGGACAGCACAGTTAAATATCAATACAGCCTATTCTAACACTTCAGCCCCTTTTCGTGTCAAAGATTCTTGAAAACATCTGGTAAATGTTCATTAGGCCTGCCCTGTCTCTTGTTCCTCATCAAGTCTGTGTTTTTCTATCCCTCTTGCATGTGATGTGAAGGTAGGTTAGAGCCAAGGGCTTTGATCTGTATTTCATAATATTCTTTTTTTTTTTTTTAAAAGATAGCCAGAGCAGGGAGCAGAACAGGCAGAAGGACCGAAGTACACTGCTGAGGGGAGCAGCGGGCAGCAGGAGAGGTCTGCGTGCCATGTGGGACTCTCGCCCGTTGGCCGGGGATCAAACTGGTGCTGCAGAGGCTGCGGGCAGCTTCACAACCCAGCGCTCAACCGCCGCACCACCGGGGAGGCCCTGTATTTCATAATATTCTTGTAGAAAAAAATAAAACAAAACAAACCCTTATTCTAGATGGGATTTACAACTTATGAAGTGTTTTCACAAACAATCCCTCTTGATTGGGCCTCCTAATGAAAGGAGTTAGAAGTTCCTACCCACAAAAGACAGGTTCCCTAATTCAGAGAGTCTAGGAAAATCCTATGCAGATCCTAACCATGCCAAAGCCTCCAAAGTAGATAAGGGTCAGTACTACAAGTCAAAGAATGCCAAGGATTGTTGGAAACCAAAGGGCTACAACCCAGCATCTCAATGTGGAGTGCTCCCCAAAAGCAAAGAGCAGACTTAGCTTATGGTACCAGTGGAATGCCATCTGGGCCAGAGTCCCAAAAGGAAAACAGAGGACATCTATTATCAGTAAACAGGAGGCTAGGGAAATTGCACCAACTCCTCCACTGTGGACAACCAAAAAGCTGTGTAAACATCTGACAAGTATCACTGAGCCAATGAGATACTAGTAGAATGATATCCCAGAGAAGACAGGAACCCGGACAGGTGAGCCCAGCATTTGGAGCCACCTCTTCCCTGGAGGCACTTGCCCATTTGGAAGAGGTGACTAAGAAAATGACTTACGTTTCTGATAGTCTTGCAGGGCTAAGGACAGGAGGAATTTGGAGTACAGAGACAACAATGGTAGGGCATTGATGAACCACTGCCTATTAAGGAGTGTGACCCCAGAGGATTGTACCCCAGGGCTAAGGGCAAAACCAGTACTTGCACAGTCTAGAGGTCTCTGATCTGTTATCTCTGGCTCCAAAAATCTCCAACATTGAGCCTGAATTAATGCAATCCCAGAATTCTAGTATCCTCTGAACATCTGGCACAAACGAATGCAAATCTTCTCAAAAGGGCAAAATCATGTTAGTTCTCAAAATATTTCAACAAATTCTCAAAACACAATGTCCAGCATGAAATAAACAATAATAGGGCACATTATAAGGCAGATCAGGGAGAGCCAGCAGAAAGTAGGTGACAGAAACTCACTCACAGGGTTTCAGGTTATTGGAATTATCAGAGATTAAACACAGGAAAATAGTTCTAATTCTGGTTATTTGAAACCTTAATACTCTAATCCATCCTCATTTGCTCCCAGGATTCCTAAAATTCCCCTCCTGCCTGACATCACCACTATCTCCAGAGATGTCCTCTTATTGTGAAAGAATGACAGTATTCTTAATAATAGGTGCTAGAGTCTTTATGGACTGAATTGTGTCCCTCCAAAAGTCATATGTTGAAACCCTAACCTCTAGTATGAAGGTGTTTGAGGATAGGGCCTAAAAGGAGGTAGTTAAGGAAAATGAGGACAGCGGGGTCTAATCCAGTAGGACTGGTGTCCTCACAAAAAGAGGAAGAAACACCAGAGATTCTCTCAATGCATTTGCACAGAGAAAAGGCCATGTGAGGGCACATGAAGAAGATTTATGTTCACAAACCGGGAAGAAACCTTGCCAGAAAACTGCCTGTTGGCACCTAGATCTTGGACTTTCAGTCTTCAGAACTGGGAGAAAATGAACTGGTATTATTTAAGTCACCAGGTCTGTGGCATTTTGTTATGGCAGTCTGAGCTAGTATGTTGGCCATTTCCGGGATGTCAAATGTGTTTAAAGATACATCTTCAATGAAAGTAAGAATTCAACTCAAACTGACAAGAACGGGTAAGGAGTAGACACAGTGACATAGGAAAATAGATAGCTTTTTAAAAAGTTTTATTTCAAGAACTTTGTTTTTTACTGGTATTTCAAAAAAAGGTGGGTCAAAGTACAAAAAAAAAGTCAGTTGAATAACAGCATAGGTTTAGAAATCACAGCCGCAGAAGCAATGTACAGACAGCACAGACAAAACAATCCAATGTATGCAATCCTGTTCAGGTTCTTTGCTTATTTTGTGTTTTTCCCCTCCTGTACAAAATACACCAAAGCATGCCATGAGATCAGAAAAAGAAGAGTTTAACAAATGGTTACAAGAAATAGACTGTACAAGAGGAGATAATGTTTCTTCCCCTACCCCCCGCCCCCCACTTCCTCTCTTCTTGCTCTGCTTTAGGTCAAGTTATTCTGAAGACAGTTCACATCCAAGTCAGCCTGGTCACCTTTGCCACCCTCAAGTTTGGGAGACATGGAGTTCTGGATGTTAAATGACTCCTCCTCTTTCAGGCAGGACTTGAGAACTTCCTGGATTTTGTGGGGAGCACTAGGATCATCCTGGAAGAGGAAAAATGGTGAGGAGGGGCAGGAAGGAGAGAGTCCCAGGCTTTTCTACCTGGCTGAAAGAAACATAACTGATGAAAGGAAGAAAGCGCTAAGATTTGGAATGAACCAAAGTAACTCATCAGCAGCTGCTTCTTAGTAATGTCATCTTCAAAAACAATGGCCAGATATAGATGAAAATTGCGTTACAAGTACCTTCTAGTTTAGGTCAACCAAGGATTTCTCTTTGACTGAGACTGGGGAGAAACAATCCCTTTTAACGCTATGTCTTAAGTACTTAGCCTGTTCCCTCCAAATTCTCAGGTGTTGATGAGCTCTGCCCAGCCTGCCAGTGCTCCTTCCCATGGCCCTCCATCCTGATTGGTCGGGGAATACTTCCTGTCAGGGCATGTGGCGGGGTGTGCACAGGACTCTGGTCAAGTGAAGCCAGAGTGGAGCCCTTCTCTCCATGGCAAACATACGTCCTCTGACTAGAAGTCAAAAGTATGGGAGCCTCTCACCATCAGTTTATCTACCCAAAGACACTACTTAAAAGGTTTTTTCTCAATCCAAGAGTGGATGAGTCCAGTTGCCTACGTGGACTTCCACACTTTGCATCAGATAACATTCATGCTGCTGGTTCACAACTTATTTTCTTTTTTTAAAGATTTATTTTTTATTTATACAAGAGCTGGGGTACAGGCCAGAGATGCGGGAGGGTGAGAGTATTCACCAGAGACAGAGTGGGGAGCTGAACAGGCAGACAGACCGAAAGCACTGCTGAGGGGAGCAGTGGGCGCGACAGGAGAGGTCTACCACGCCATGTGGGACTCTCCCTGGCTGGCTGGGAATCGAACTCGCGCTGCAGAGGCTGCAGACAGCTTCACAGTGTTGTTCTCAACCCGCTGCGCCACGGGGGAGGCCCCATAACCTATTTTCAATGTGCACCATGCTCTCCTGCCTATCCACGTATGTTACTTGTAGTCCTATGACAAGTCCCTGAACCCAAACTGAATCTGCCAGTTAGAAACATCTTCAGGAAAACCACAAAGTTCTCCAATTCTGCTTTCAGGGCATTCAAAAAACTCTTGTCTTCCCACCATTCTTTTCTTTCAGAACCACCAAAGAAATTTTAACCCAGTGCAATTCAGTGGGCCTAACTTTGTCTGGTATCCCCAATAACTACTTTAGGTGCTTGGAAATCTGCTGATCAAAGAGGTTGTATAACCACCCAGGCAGGGGCATAGGCGGTAAGAAGGGAGAGAAGGTCCCTATCTGACCAGCTAGTGCAGACCTTTCTTGTTTTAACTACTTCCAAAATTCAAAGTAATCATCCTGCTCAAGGACCATGGCATTCTTCATAAAGCTTGGATGAGCTCTTGTCCATGCTGCCTGCTTCTGAGTTTGACCCACAACAGTGCTAAGTTAGGGTAGCGAGTAGTTGGAAAGAAAGTAGGGAAAGGTCCAGGAATATGTCAAGACACTAAGTGTTCAAAAATATGTGCATATAGAAACCACAGTCTCCTGCCCCTGTTGCCAGCCTCACTTAGCATTTATTCAGAAGACTAGCCTGAACAGAGTGATTTAATAGAATTTCAAACACCGCAGATATGACTTATGGACAACAGTTGTCTCATTTCCAATGAGATAAAAATAAGAGGAAATGAAATTAATAAGGTATTGAGGCAGATTTCAGGCAAGGTGCCCATGCATAGTACACACAGACACTTGATATTTTCTGTCACTGCTTGGAAAGATCCAGAAAAACTTTGAAATCACACACTCTCTCTCTCACACACACAGGTTTTATGAAGAGGGAAGTAGCATGAGGAACTGCACCTTTTATTTTGTGTACTTCTATCTCATTGGGGGGATATATTGGACATAAGTACTTGAAAGCTGAGCCATTAAAGATCTTGGGTAGAATGGACAGTGAAATCTGGGACAAGACAGGATCACCTATATTCACCTCTCATCTCCCAAGTGTGAAACTCACGTTCATGATTTTCCAAGATAACCTCTCCCTACCCTCCATCACACACACTTTGGGGAATATAGGGACACAGGGACATTCTCATAATGTGAAAAAAGGTGGGGTTAGTGAGTCCTTATAGATAAGGGCAATAAAATTGTGATCCCATGAAGGTGGGGGCTAAATTAAACCTTGCCTCCAGGGTTCATGGGCTTTGGAAAGATGAGAAAGTTGCCTTCTGGGTCAAAGGTAGGAGAAGTGTATGCTACAATTAAGAAACAGGTATTCGAACAATGAAGTTAAGTCCCTCCAACAAATAGATGGAGTGTCTAAACCAAGATGGAGCTATCCTAACCCAAGTGTTTCCTCCAGCACTCAGTCCTATTAAGGCTAAGATTACTGAATCTCTCAGCAGAAGGCCCACCCATCTGCCTTCAGTTTAGCAGAAACCCCTCATCACCAGGGAGCCGGACTGCCATCTGGCATAAGTCCTGGGAACTACTGTGCACACCCTCTCCATTCATACCCCAGTTGTATGGGCATCCTCAGCACAGGGGTAGTGGAGGTTCATACCTGGACTCTGACTTGTTTAGACATAAATCTCTACCAGAAGGTGGTGGCAGTCAATGCTTTACCAAATACATGGAAGAAAATCTGAAAAGAAAGATTTAAATGGGGGAGGAAAAGGCACTAAGGGACAGCATGGTGATAAACTGATAAAGTAAAATCCTGGAAGGTCTGTCAAATTCTTGGACCTGCAACATTCCATTGATGGCACAGCTGAGAACCTACAGGGCAGCTCTCAGTGTTTGGGCAGGTTGCCTGTGGATTTCAGGTGACTTCATTCATGCTGTGTATCTGGGCATCATCCAGATGCCCAGGTTATTTTATTTTCTACACACAGGTCATTCCTCCTAGAAAACTTGCAAACTTCCACAGCAGGGGTTGAGGAGCTCCTGATGATTCCTTCCCAGGCTGGCTGCCCAAGTTACACACACTCAGCCACTGACTCATGGTTACAGGGCCTTGTATCCACCCAGGAGGGCCCAGGAGGGCAGCACAAGATGACGCCAGGCCTGGGGGATAGGGTAGAGGCAGGGGTGCGGAGTACTGCTCACCCATATTCACAACCAAGCCTCGCCTCACAGACTTCAAGCAACTCTTTTTTGCTTGAAGTTTTTCAGTGCATGGCTGGTAGAGATTATTGGTACTGGGCAGGAAAATGATCCACTCAATCCACTTTACCTATAAAGGAAATAACTCCTCTATGGTGATAAAAAGAATTCTCCAAAATGTTAGGAAACACCAATATCAACAAGGAAATTGGGGGCGTGGGGGAAGAAGAAGGAAGAGAAGAGACTAAATGAACAGGCTTGACTCAGATGCCTGTCAGTTCACCTCCCAGCTTGCTGGAGCTTTTCTTATGTCCATCCTACTGCCCAGCATCATCTGTAAGCAGTCAGTGTGGTGGCTGAAGCAGTGACTAGGGCTTCTCTTCAAAATAAAGTGGCAACTATCTTAACTGTCAATGCCCACAAGATCTTGAATATCAGGTCTGATTTCTGGCTATGTGGACAGAATTAGAGAAGAAGGTACGCAACCTACCAGTACACCCTCCTTTGGCCAGGAGAGTCATCCCTACACCCAGAGCTTTGTCAAGAGGGGACAGGATGTCCCTTGCAAATGACTCTCAAGATCCAAGAGGAGTCAGAGACCACTTCTGTGAGGGAGGCCCTGAGTGTTGCTGAGGCAAACCCCCCCTCCCTTCTACCACCAGCCTTCTCAGGCCAAGTCCACCATGTCAAATGATCCTCTGCTCTGCTCTATTTCCAAGACTTGCCACACTCTGAACTCAAGGTCACTGGTAGCTTTTACTAACAAATGCCTTGCTTTCCATCAAGATGGATTAGCCAAAAAGAACAGGAAACCTTTCTCTGATCATGCAACCAAGTCCTTCAAGATGAGCTCTGTCCTCCATCCCCCTTTGGGTTAAAGAAAGTTGTCTATACATGGGATGCCAGAAATGCACTCCTCTACTCTATCAGGCAGAGGGAAGGAGGAACTAACTGTGGACAATGAGCACCCTGACGATAGGCCCCACTGTGCTGGTCAGACTTGCTGCCCACACCTAGGAGACAGCAGATCTGACAGCAGAACCGAAACCCTGTGACAGGCCATCCATAAATGACTGACAAAATGCATATTATTGAAAAGGGCTGCTTGGGCCTCCCCGGTGGCGCAGCGGTTGAGCGCTGGGTTGCGAAGCTGCCCGCAGCCTCTGCAGCACCGGTTCGATTCCCGGCTGCTCCCCGGCCACCGGAGGAGGGTCCCACATGGCGCGCAGATCTCTCCTGCCGCCCGCTGCTCCCCTCAGCAGTGTACTTCGGTCCTTCTGCCTGCTCTGCTCCCCGCTCTGGCTCTGGTGAATTCTCTCACCCTCCCGCGCTTCTGACTGTACCCACTGCTTGTATAAATAAATAAATAAATAAAACAAAATAAATCTTTAAAAAAAAAGAAAAGGGCTGCTTAATGCAGGGATGGAATATCCCAAGATGAGCAAGACTGTCCTGCTCAAGGTACTTACATGGTTGTGGGCTCATTATGGGGTCATCAATCTTAAAGTGTTCAGGACATCTTGTTTCCTTGGTCATTACATCTACCTTGAACTTATTAATATCTTGGTACACACCAAGTAAAATATCATTCATTTCTTTTTTTTTTTTTTTATAGAGGCATGTTTTATTTATTTATTTTATTTGTTTGTTTGTTTTGTTTTTACATGCACTGGGTACAGTCAGAAGCGCGGGAGGGTGAGAGAATTCACCAGAGCCAGCGTGGGGAGCAGAGCAGGCAGAAGGACCGAAGTACACTGCTGAGGGGAGCAGCGGGCGGCAGGAGAGGTCTGCACACCATGTGGGACCCTCCTCCGGTGGCCGGGGAGCAGCCGGGGATCGAACCAGCGCCACAGAGGCCGCGGGCAGCTTCGCAACCCAGCGCTCAACCACTGCGCCACCGGGGAGGCCCCAAAATATCATTCATTTCTACCCTTCATATCAGACACTTTATTTTTTTTAAGGTTTCCTTTTTTTCTTTTTTTTTTTAAGATTTAATTATTTATGCATAAAAAACTGGGGTATAGGCCAGAGATGCAGAGGGTGAGAGGATTCACCAGAGACAGAGTGGGGAGCAGAACAGGCAGATAGACTGAAGTACACTGCTGAGGGGAGCAGCAGGCAAGTCAGGAGAGGTCTGCTGCACCATGTGGGTAGCTCCCTGGCTGGCCGGGGATCAAACTCACACTGCCAAGGCTGCGAACAGCTTCACAGGGCTGCTCTCAGCCCCTTGTGCCACTAGGGAGGCACTATATCAGATACTTTAAAAAATTATCCTAGATTTTCATGTCTTATTTAGATTGACCCCCTTAACTCTACCACACCAAGTTCTTCTTTTCTTGGGTTTGGTGGACAAGGTCTCATTTGCTATTATTCTCTTTCCCTTTCTTTTTTTTTTTTTAATTAATTTATTTATTCATACAAGAACTGGGGTATAGGCCAGAGGCACAGGAGGGTGAGAGGATTCATCAGAGAGAGAGTAGGGAACAGAACAGGCAGACTGATGAAATACACTGCTGAGGGGAGCAGCAGGTGTGACAGGAGAGGTCTGCCGTGCCATGTGGGATCCTTGCTGGCCGGCGGACCGGGATCAAACCAGCGCTGCAGGGGTTGCAGACAGCTTCAAAGAGCTGTGCTCAACCGCTTGCGCCACCAGGGGAGGCCCCTCTTTCCCCTTCTGAGGCTACACTTTTCCCCACCTATAAAAAGAAGGCAATGATCTACATCTGTGTTGTCCAATGTGGTGGCAGGAGCCACATTTCAAGAGCTCTACAGTCACAGTAGCTAGTCGCTGCTGCAGTGGATAGTGCAGATATAGAACAGTTCTATCTCATAGATAGAACGTTCCACCAATAGTACTGGTGTAGACTGTTAGGGCTCCTATGGCCTCTAATAATGTATGGTCCATTATTTCACAGAACATCAAACTTTTCTCTTAAACTCCCTTGTTTCTGTCTGAAGCGTTTTTTGTTTAGCTCCCTTATCTGTTTAATGATGTATTTACCTTGAGATAAGGAGCCTGGGTCATGTGCAGAATTTTTGGATTTGGACATGATATGATATAGGGCAACACAGAAGGCCTTTAGAAATTGGTGTCTTCTGGGCCTCCCCGGTGGCGCAGCGGTTGAGTGCTGGGTTGCGAAGCTGCACGCAGCCTCTGCGGCGCCGGTTCGATCCCCGGCTGCTCCCCGGCCACCGGAGGAGGATCCCACATGGCGCGCAGACCTCTCCTGCCGCCCGCTGCTCCCCTCAGCAGTGTACTTCGGTCCTTCTGCCTGCTCTGCTCTCCGCTCTGGCTCTGGTGAATTCTCTCACCCTCCCGCGCTTCTGACTGTACCCAGTGCTTGTATAAACAAAAAAACAAACAAACAAACAAACAAATAAATAAATAAATAAAAAATTAAAAAAAAAAAAAAAGAAATTGGTGTCTTCAGAAAACAATGTATTGGGTTTTTATTGGTTTCAACTGATATTTTTAAGTCTATCCTCCTAAGACTAGAACTTACCCCTCGATTTTTTATTCCATGAACATTTTAGGCTCACCTTGTACCTAATAGTGTAAGCCTGCCAGTTTTTAGGGTTTTTTTTTTTTTTTTTTTAAGATTTATTTATTTATTATACAAGCACAGTCAGAAGCATGGGAGGGTGAGAGAATTCACCAGAGCCAGAGTGGGGAGCAGAACAGGCAGGCTGACAAAATACACTGCTGAGGGGAGCAGTGGGCACAGCAGGAGAGGTCTGTAGCGCCATGTGGGACCCTCGCTGGTGGCCAGGGATTGAACCGGCACTGCAGAGGCTGTGGGCAGCTTCGCAGCCCAGCACTCAAGCACTGCACCACGAGGCGAGGCCCAGTTTTTAGGGGTTTTGAGCAGTTTCAAGGACATGGTTTTTCTGGTCATTCCAAAGAGCAAACACCATTGGTTCCATTGACCATCAGGAGATTCTCTAGCAATGAGCATCCCTAGCAGAGCCCTTTCTCCTGAAACACCAAAACGAGACTCCAAAGGGTGAAGCTAAACACTATGCGCCATCTTAGAAAAAGATCCTTTCCACTACCTATGACTCTGCTTGGGGATACATCTTTTCCCCACCTTCACTGCCCCAACTTGTTGCCCTAAGCTGATCTCCAGAGCTCTGAGGAGTGGCTCCACACTCTGAAATAGACTGAAGACATGGGCAGGGGCTAAAACATGTATAAGGGTACATGTGAAGAAGACAAGTTACCTGACAGATAACGTTATCATAGTGAGCCAAGGCATGGGCATGAGGGGAGGAGGTACGAGGAATTTCACAAAATTTCCTTACATTTGGATGAGAGCCCTCAGCAATGGTGGAGAGGGAGAAGTTATCGTTGTGGAGCTCAGATGGGGTCCGGAATTTGCTGGTTAGAACAGAAAAAGAGAAAGGAAAATGTAAGCGAAATGATCATGGGAAAATCTGACAAAGCTTCATAGGTCAAACACTGTATTCCAACAAATGCCATGGACCCTAGTGAGATGCACCATTATTTGATGTACCATGAGAAGGAAACTCATACCATTTAAACCAGGACTTTGTCGTCTAGCATTTTTATTACATACTAGTTCATTTAGACAGTGATATGAACAGCCATGGTCACATTCATGCATGCCAGGCAATTGCAACTACATCATGACTGCCATCTGGCCAACAGTGATTATAAGATGCCAGTGATTGGAAGATACAAACCAATTTCAGAGATGTTAGTATGTGAAAAAAATGTGGATCTTAGAATCAATACACGCAGCATTATCTATAGTGTCCTGGACACATGCAGCATTATTAGAGCAGTAACCTGGCTTGGGAAAGAAAGTATGCAGGGAGAAACAAATGAGGCAGCATCTGAGCTGAAGAGTTTCAGGAGTCATGCTCTGTGCAAAACACATAGGCAGTTAAAGGGAAAAGGCCTGGAATGAGGCTGAGGCCCTGTCCCTGTTCATAGTTTTTGCATCTTCCTTGGTAGTTGCTCCTTCTTTCTCTCATCTTCATCAGCAGCTGCCTTGATTTAGGAGACACACACCGCCCCCCCCCCCGCCCCGCCTTTTTCCCCCTCCCCCACCACACACCAGCTTGGGGAAGTAAGGTCCCGGCTAGTGATCACATGTACAGATACACAGTCTGCCTCAGTGCACAGGCACAATGGAGGGGCCCCTTCAGCCCCATGACAATTAGCTGAAAGGCTGCAGAAAGTTGCGGCATCTGCACATTACAGGAGTTTACCCAGCAAAGGAGCAACAGATGGTGTTTTGTCCTTTTCCCAGGACCCAGGGAAAGTCCTTCAGTCACATTCTCTGGTGAGAGAGTCTCAGGTCAGGGGGAAGGGATTAATAGGACAACAGGCTGAAAGGGAGGTGGGGGCAGTTCTGCATAAATTGTCTCTTGGGCTTTTTGTGATTTCCATGATACTTCAGAAGGTTCTTTGCTTAGTGATAGGAATGATTCATACTGTATAAGGCCACATTCAAGTGTTCAAGGCATGAACTTAAAGGGTAAATGCATGTGGATTCTCATATGAACACAACACTCACTCCTTTGATAAAGGAAGAACTGAAATGAGATTCTGTATCTCCCTATGGCCCATAAAATCCACAGTAGAGGAAGTTAAATCTAGGCCTCTCCCCCGGCTGCTCCCTCAAATTCTACTTAGAGGAGATAAAGAGGATTTCTTTAAGTTTCTTGTACTTCTGACTGGACCAAGAGTTGACAAGCTTTGAAAAGCAACACTTGGCAGTGCTAAACCCTTTCTCCTCAGCATTCAATGAGGAGCAGTTGGTATTGAGTGACAGCAGACTTGAGGGTAATGGAGTTATTTCATGCTGATTTGTGAGCAAGATTCTCACTCTAGCTATTGGCTGTTAAGACCAAGGGTGTCAGGAAGCTGGTGCAGTTAAGGAGGGCTGCAGGAACTGAACATAATAATGTACTTGGGACCAGAGGTAGGAGTTGCTATCCCCTGGTTTCCTTGAAGCATCCTCTATCTCAGAATGGAGGGTGATAGGAACGGGACTGGACAGCTGCAGCATGGCACAGGGGCTTAGTCTCAGCTGTAATTCCAGCATATTCTGTGTAGGATGGATAAGGTTGAGAGAATCTTTGATACGGAAAACACAACTAGGGATGGAGAGCAAGTGCTAGAAACCCTCATGATAGCATCCTTGGATCAGATGGAAGAGCACAGTGGCAGAGTCAGGGTGAGGCTGCCTGACACACTTACTTGGTCCTCCGCAGCTTGGTATTCTCCGTCTTGAGCAGATAGAGTTTCTTGGCAAAGAACACGGTCATCATGAAGAGCAGGAGCAGTACGAGGGCAGCCGAGCCGACAGCCACACACATCACCTGGAAGTCGGTGATGATGGACTCACAGCGCATCCCCTTGTGCCAGATGTAGTCCTGAGTGTTGCACCTGCATCAGCGACAGAGAGACTGAGGGAGGGGCAGGCAGCTGTGGCCACAGCAAGTTTTCCCTGATCCCAGAACTTATGTCAACAGCCTATTCTATGACCATCTAGAGGTATGATGTCCCTAATCTGTGTAGACCTTACAGTTGATATTTATGCCCCACCCTATGAAGTAGACCTCTGACGTACATAATATAAATGAGGCAACCACACACTGAAAATTGAGTAAAATGGTTTGTTACATGACTATTAAGTGACCAAGGGGCAAGTGAACCTTGCCTTTCCACCTTGCACACTCAATGGGGACAATCAGAGTATTCTGTCAGGCCCCTCCCTGCACTGCTCTCTGGGAGAAAGAAAGATGAAAAACAAGATGAATAGGAGCGATGGCTACAAAGTGGCAGGATCCACCCTACACATGAAAACCTATCTTGCTGCTTTGCAGTCTCATCTAGTTCACACGGCTAACCAGACAGTGAAAAATAAAGAAGTGACAGACAAGGACAAACACAAAGCTGGATGTATGAAATTCTCCTCCTATCTTTGCAAACCCCAAAGTTCTGCCCCTAAAGCTTCCTGTCCTAATAGCGTGAGAACTGTCATGAAAGCATAGTGAGAATCAACCCTCTGGGTGGGTTTTACCCTTTTGTTGAGTGACTTTCTCTTGCCCTTGGGGACATTCCCAGGCTCCAACTCTTCCAATGACATTGCTGTTTCCATGGGAACCAGGCTGCTTCAAAGAGGAAAGATGTGGAAGGATAGAGAGGCAGCAAAGGAGGGAGGACATGAACCTTAGGGTGAATATAGACAAGAGAAAGGGATCCAGAAATGGGGAAATTATTCATGGGAGAATTGTCTGCTCTACACCCAGAATAGGGTGGGCAGAGAAAGCTAACAGGGAATTCTTTCTTTTCCCCCTGATCCTCTGCAGCTATCTGTTTGAGGACGCTAGGGAAAGCAGACCATTCTAACCCACTGTTCTAGAGAAGTTCTGCTACTGCTCTGTTCATTTCCCTGCAGTAGGTCAGGGTGACAGAGACAAAGGCACGCTGCAGTCTGCAACTAAAGGCTCAGCAGTATCCTGTGAGTGGAATGCAAAACAGTTTTCAAGCCACTGACAGGCCTGGGTGTACATAGGTGGAGTAGGAATCTCTGATAGGGAGGCCCAAATATGATCCTGGGAGGGCAAGTGGGTCAGAGGAACTAGAACAGAAGCCCTTCAGAGGATCCATGGTTCAGCAGAGCCATAGAGCTTAGTGAGGAGGACAAGCTTTCTCTTCTTTCCACTTGGGAGTACCCTGAGAGCTCCTGGAGGTTCTGGGGACTTTTCTAGTTCTCCAGCGGCCACACGAACTCCAATTTTCATACTCTATCAGGGAGCTTACTTTGAAGGTAAAAACTCAGGTCTCCAATAGGATGAACCATAATGATTTTGCACAAAGATTCCACAGCTACCAGGCTAAAATTATCACTATGGTCCCCCTAAATAAAGTCTGAAGAGCAAAATCACAAGATTTCCACATATTACTGGTAGCTCTTAGCCAACTGGCAAGATCTCATTGCCATAATTTCCTCCTTTTTTTTTTTTTTTTTTTTAGAGGCATGTTTTTATTTATTTATTTGTTTGCTTGTTTATACATGCACTGGGTACAGTCAGAAGCGCGGGAGGGTGAGAGAATTCACCAGAGCGGGGAGCAGAGCAGGCAGAAGGACCGAAGTACACTGCTGAGGGGAGCAGCGGGCGGCAGGAGAGGTCTGCACGCCATGTGGGGCCCTCCTCCAGTGGCTGGGGAACAGCCGGGGATCGAACCAGCGCCGCAGAGGCCGCGGGCAGCTTCGCAACCCAGCGCTCAACCACTGTGCTACCGGGGAGGCCCATAATTTCCTCCTTTTAGCAATGGCTAGACAATTCCAACCAAAAATGTGTGGACACTTCCTACATAAGTAACCCTAAAGTCAGGATCATTTACAGAAAACTTCAGTCAGGAACTGGAACTCAAGCCTTAATGCCAAGGGCCAACATTTATGCTTTCTATATGCGACTCTTCTATCAGATCAAGAACTACAAAATTTGAAACCTTCACATAACTCCACAAAAGACCAAGAAAACCTGGGAATGACACTTAAAAAAGAAACTCAGACTACAGAAAAACTCCCCCAGGCCAATGGAAACAAGCCCGGAGGACTCTGAAGACTCTACTCCACTTCTAGGTCCTGTAAAGGATAGAGACAAGCAAACCACCCACATCACCCGTGACATGTGATTCTTCCCAAAAAAGTCAGGACTTTCCAGTCAGTTAAATACCTCGCTGCCTGACTGTGAGGCCAGGTGTCTGGAGTAATTATGATGAGGCAGGGGGTTGGTGCCCCATCGTAACTGCAGACAAGCTAAACTGTCTAAACCATTGTGGACCAGTATCCCAAGGAAGCCAAGGTAGAAAGGGAAAAAAAGACTATCCTAGTTAAGGCACCCAGCATATCTGCAACATTAGGACAGCCTCTCAGCTTGAGTTGCTCTGGGTTTGCTTCTAAAAAGGGATCCATGGGCCTCCCCTGGTGGTGCAGCAGTTGAGCGCTGGGTTGTGAGGCTGCCCGCAGCCTCTGCGGCGCCAGTTCGATCCCTGGCCACTGGCGAGGGTCCCACAAAAAAAATAAAAAGGGACCCACACTGGGGCCTCCCTGGTGGCGCTAGGGTTAATATGCAAGCTATGAAGCAAACCACAGCCACTGCAGTACGAGTTCGATCCCTGGCCAGCCAGGGAGCTACCCACATGGCGCGGCAGACTTCTGCTGTCTCACCTGCTGCTCCCCTCAGCAGTGTACTTCAGTCAATCTGCCTGTTCTGTTCCCCACTCTGTCTCTGGTGAATCCTCTCACCCCTCCACACCTCTGGCCTGTACCCCAGCTCTTGTAAGCATAAATAAAAAATTTTAAAAAAGGGACCCACTCTGACTTTATATGCCCACACCCATTTGTGCCCTGCAGAGGTAAGGGGGTGGGGGGCCCTCCTTCTACAGGCATTGCTCTGAGGGAGTGTTCAGCAGCACCCCTCCCCCTCGGTTTAGGGGCCTACTCTTTTTGCTTGTGTAGTTAGAACTGTCAAACAAAAGCCCTTCAAGCCAGCAGAGTTCTCTTTCTACCATCCTTAGAGAAGTCCCTTCATTTTGCCTTTATAGTTTAGTGGTTTGGAAAAGAACACACCACTTAAGAGGAAACACAAATTCTATTTCTCAGGACCCTCTCCTAGTGATGACTCTGTAGAAGACACCAGAGAATCTGTGAACCTCCTCTTGGAAGCTGTGCCTGTCATGTTCCCCTCTTTGCTAACTCTGCCTCCTCTGCACACTTCAGTTCTTTCCCAAGCCCCTGTGCACCTGCCTGCCACACCCTTACCTGCAGAAGGCCCCTATGTTCTCCACCAGGTAGCACTGGCCGCCGTTGTGACAGTAACTCGGGAAGAGGTCGCACACTGACCGGCAGGAGCCGTTGTGCCGCACAAAGCCGCTGCGGCACTCAGTGCCGTTCCCGCCGGGGACCAGATCCTGGCCTGGCTCTCCTGGGCGGGGCCTGAGGGCGATGCTGCTGCCGGGGACCATCCCCAGAGTGTGCTGTGGAGGGACAGCGTGCCACCGACTGGTGGGCTGGCCCGTGCCGGGCCCCAGACCAGGCCGCTCGGTGGGCACCAGTAGGTCACTTTCATCTTCCAGGTCTCCCCCGCCCACTGCATCCTTGTCGTCCTCCTCCTCCTCGTCTTCCTCCAGGTCATCATAGAAAGATGTGGTGGGGTAGAAATCAGATTCATCAAAGGGGGTGAAGTCATCGTATAAGTCCAGCAGGCTCCAGGAAGGGGTCTCTCCCTCAGTATCAGGATGGTGCTCTGAGGTTCCTGGTGACCCTGGGAAACTCCCCAGGTCAGCACCACGGCCCTCACTATCCAATCCTTCGAAGTAGTCGATGTCAATTACATCTGAAGCCGGCTGGGGCTCCAGTGTGCCCTGAAAGGGGTGTGTGGGCTCTGGCCCATGGGGGTCAGGTGTGCTTGCGCCCAGGTTCAGCCAAACCTCCAAGGGGCTCTCCTTGGGGATGTCAGAGCCTGGGCTCAGCTTGTCACCAGGGGTGGGGGAGAGTGGTCCTCTAGCCTCTGTCGCCTCAGGGGCAGTGGGAGGCATCAGTGATTGCCCGAGGACCTCATCAGGAGCCGGGAGAGTGGATGGAAGGGTCTGCGTGTCCCCGCTGCCTGCCTCTGCGGTCACTCCTCCCAGGCCTGGGCTGTCAGCCTCCAGCCAGGCGGTGTCTGTCACCGCCGCAGATGCCTCCAGCGTCTCTTCCGCCCCGACCCCTTGGCCCACCGAGGCCTGCTCGCCGGCGGGCGCGGTCCACGAGGTCTCATCTTTCCCAGCTGCGGGCAGGCCGGCCTTCTCCCGCGTGCTGTTGGCACGCGGCTCCCACGTTCGGGCGCTCTTCACCTGCTCCTGCGCCTCGACGGCACTGCCCGCCTCGCGCGCTGTGGGCGGGAGAGGGGCGGGGCATCAGGGAGGCGCCCGCGGTAGGCCCCACCCCGCCCGCGCCGCCAGCCCGGGCCCGCGCGGCCGCCGCCGCTTCGTTTCCCAAGCCACGCCCCCCGGGACAGCCCCGCCCACCCCGCCTGGAAGCCGGGATCAAACGCGGTCGTCCCCGCTCAGGCTCCGCCCCTCGCGCTTCAGACCCGCCCCCAAAGGACCAGCAGTCGAACCGCCGCGGCCCCCAACTCGGGCCCCTGGCAGCCTTCCCTTCAGGGCCGCCCTTCATCTGCAGCCCCGCCTGGAGTCGCACCCTTAGGGCCGCCCCACCCCAGGCTCCGCCCTGAACTGGCAGCCTCAAGCCCCCCATCACAGACAGGTCCCGCCCCTAAGTCTCACCCTCAGGCCCCGCCCACCCAGCCCCTCCCCCAGCCCACACCTCGATCCGCACACCCGGGTTTGGGCGGCCCCCCACTGCTCAGTCTCCCCCAAGCCCCCCATCTTCTCGCGCGCCCCTCCCCGGCCCGGGCCTCGGGCCAGGCGGTGCCCCGCCCCCTCGCCTCAGCGCGCGGACTCCGCCAGCACCCGAGCCCCGCGGGACCCGGCCCGGGGGCGCGAGGGTCCCGGGGTCCGGCGCGGTCACTACCTACCCGGCGCGGCCCCGGCGGCGAGGACCAGCGCGGCCCCCAGCAGCAGCAGCAGCGGCGGCGCTCCCCGGCCCGGGCCCCCGCCTCCGGCTCGGCCCATGGCGCGGCGCCCCGACCGCTGTCCGCGGTCTGTCTGGCTGGCAGCGCCCTCGGCTCGCCGGCCGCCGCGCCTCCCGCCCGCGCTGCGGCCGCCTCAGCCCACGGTGGGCAGAGCGAGAAGCCGCATGCCGCGGCGCCGTCCGCCACTGTCCCCGCGCCCCGCGCCTCCCCGCCTCCCGCGCCGCCGCGGCCGCGCTCAGCGCCGCCCCCACCCCGCCCGCCGCGGCCGCCCCGCCGCACGTAGCTCTGACGCCGGCTCAGTCCGCCTGCCCGGGGGACAGACAGACCCCCGGCTCGGGACTGGGAGACACACGGACGTGGAGTGGCGCGGGGGCCGGCGCACAGCGCCGCGCGGCGTTAGCCGACAGGTGCACGCGCGGGAGAGCTGCGGGGCGGGGCCGCGGCCCCGCCTTCTCCTTGAAGCGCGGGCGCGGGCCCCCCACCGCGGGAACCCACCCGCCACGCTGTGGGCACGGAGGGGGGCCCAGACGCCCGCAGGCTCGGGGCGGGGCTCGGGAGGGCCGCAGGGGGCGGAAGCCCGAGTCCGTGCTGTGGCGACGAGCCGAGCCCCGGACGCACCGTGTCTCTTGGATTTCTGCACCAACCTGGTGCTCTGGGCTGAGAAGGTCTCGGGGAGGTCTCTGGGTCTCCACCAGGGCGGGCCAGGCGCTGGCCCGGCCAAGCAAGGGGCCAAAGCCGACAGACAGCCCAAGCTCTAATCCGATCAGACCTAATCCATCAGCAGCCAAAGCCAGACCTCGCGCCGCCACGCCCGCCAGAACGCATCCTGGCGGAAGAGGGAAAGACCTTCCTGAGACTGCGTCTACCCCTCCTTCCCTCTTACCTCCCTGAGGCAGAGACCTTTAATCCCAGTCCCTTACTCCCTCGCAGACACCCTGCCCACCTTGAGTTCCATGCAACCAAGGCTCAAGTTCCTGGGTATACCTAAGCAGCCTAGATTGCAGCCTCGGGCCACGTGACGCCAGCCCAGGTGTTAGATGTAGTCTATTGACCCTGTCCACGATCACAGTGCGGCCCAAGCTGATTCACCCCTGGATCGCTACTTGGTAGGAAGGCAGCATCGCGCCCTAATCACCAGTTCATACCAACCATCCACTTGATGATTATTGACCCCAATGGTGACATTCTTCGAGGAAATGGGGCAACTTTTGTATCTGAGAGATTAACTCCCTCGGCACTACAAGACGGAGGTTCTCTTTGCTAATCTCCAGGATGCATCTCCAAATGGGGTTGCTTTGGTTCCAAGTCTTACTCTCACTGAACTACTACTGCAACCTTTGCTCAACTTTGGTGTCCCCTTCCCTCCAGGCCCACCTAGCAAATTCCTTAACCCAAAAAAGCTCCGTTTCTATCATCTCCCACTCTGGGCAGCCTTTTCAGCTTGCTCCAAGCAGTTAGACACTTATGTCCTGATCTCATTGTCTACAGCAGTAATTCCCAATCCGACAGCAAGGCACTCCACTGAACAACGCCAGGCACAGTAGCAGGCACAGGAAGGCAGGAAGAAATGGAAATCATTGTCTCCTACCTCAGAACCTGGTTCTGGAGCTCCCTGTAAAGGGGCTGACTTTCCGAGGCTCTTTCCTTGGCTTCATGCTGCTTCTGTGGACACTAAATACCAAGAAATACAAACCTCTGAGCAGAGGGCAGGGTAGGGCTTTGCACTTGCCTCATGGCCAGCAACACTAAACACCCTCAGACTTCATCTCTGCTTCCCTTGTCTGTAGTTCCTCTGCTCTGTAACTGACTCTTGGGTGGTGGCTTTCACTTTGAAGATCTCGCTGAACATTTCTGCCTCCTCTTTCCTGAGGCTGGTCTGTGTGGGAAGGAGGTCTCACAAGATGGGTCTCTGAGATCATGTTGTCTGCTGCCCTGTTTTTCACAAAAAAAGGTATGAAGGGGAGCTCTTCTCTCACCCATGTCAAAACTCTACTTCAGTTTGTTTCTCTTTTTAATATATTATTTTAAATTCAATTTTTGAAAAAAAAATAAACATATGGTACAAAATAAAAGATGAAATGTCTCCTTCCTCAGTGTCTATTCCTCAGCCACCTTCTTCCCTGCCCTGGAAACAAATTTTGTTACCACTTTCTTCATTTTGGGATTTTAAATCAACTGCTGCTATTCAGTTTCATTCTTATTCTCCTTAGTAGATGTCAAGAGCAGTTTCGGAACTGAGCATGGTGCACCTGGTTGGGTGGCAGTTCCAGAAAGTGTGTGGAAGCCACTCATCCAAGCATTGGAGTGTGATGAGAAGGGCAGGAATCAGTCAGGTCTCTGTGATCTTGGAGTCTCGTGAATGTGGGAAACAGAGATTGTCAAATAAATGTAATGGATTTTTTTCTGGGCACATGGGCTAAGGGAGGCTAAAAAAGATATAGTAACTAGAAAGTGAAAGGAAATTAAACCCTATCTGGAGCTTACATCCATGGCCTCACATTCAAGTCTCATGCATTTAGGGATCAGGGATGCTTTGTGAGCAATGGTTTTTGCATGCCTCTGAGATTCCTATTGGGTTTGGCAACCTGCCTCCAGCACCAAGGCAGGCACAGGATCATTACCATGGCTACAGCCTCCCTCCATGTGTATAGAAAGTTCCTGGCTTCACGAGGGGGCTGCTGCCCAAGGCAGGCGCTGCTTTAGTTGCTATGGTTGGGGATATACTTCTGTCTGGACAGGAAGCAGTGTGGCTCCTGGTTTTAAGTCCTCAGTAGTAACCTATAACATTTTAATGAGTTGTTAGTTTTCATAGTGCTCTAATTTGTCTTATTCCTCACAGCCATACTACAAATATCTTATCAGTCACCTTACACATTTGCAAAGTGACACTGAGAATTAGCAACTTTGTCTAGTATCATGCTGAATTGGTAAGGCCAGGACTTGACCTTGACTTATAAACTCTTTTCATTTTAGTAGGCACCATTTCTCTCCCCCTTCCTTCTCAGGTCTTTCATTCTTGCTTCTTAATTTCAGAAGAGGAATCAAGATGCAGGGGTCGAATCTCACTTGGCAGAATGGAAGCCCTACTTCTACTACCACTTCCACATTGGTATTTGAGTTAATGCGATGCTTTCTTTTTTTTTCTTTTTTTTTTTTTATAGAGGCATGTTATTTATTTATTTGTTTGTTTGTTTGTTTATACATGCACTGGGTACAGTCAGAAGCGCGGGAGGGTGAGAGAATTCACCAGAGCCAGAGCGGGGTGCAGAGCAGGCAGAAGGACCGAAGTACACTGCTGAGGGGAGCAGCGGGTGGCAGGAGAGGTCTGCGCGCCATGTGGGACCCTCCTCCGGTGGCCAGGGAGCAGCCGGGGATCGAACCGGCACCGCAGAGATCGCGGGCAGCTTCGCAACCCAGTGCTCAACCGCTGCGCCACTGGGGAGGCCCAATGCGATGCTTTCTTAATGGGGAACAGCACTTAAGCCCAGACTCAGAGTCAAAAAAGGACATCTAACTTGGCCTCTCTTCTGCAAGGGTAGACTCCCCATTTTGGCTGCAGGTTATCAGCTCTATGATCATTTTTTTGGTTATGGGTTGCTGGGAACTGGTCTTCTGTACCATTACCAGGAGGGGAAGAGCCAAGGTCAGGGGCCTGAATTCTTTGTGCTGACCACCACCAGCCCACTGCTGGCTATTTTGCATTTTTTTTTAAATAAATAAATCTTTTTTTTCCATGTATTTATTTATTTGTTTGTTTATACATGCACTGGGTACAGTCAGAAGCGCGGGAGGGTGAGAGAATTCACCAGAGCCAGAGCAGGGAGCAGAGCAGGCAGAAGGACTGAAGTACACTGCTGAGGGGAGCAGCGGGTGGCAGGAGAAGTCTGCGCGCCATGTGGGACCCTCCTCCTGTGGCAGGGGAGCAGCCGGGGATCGAACTGGCGCCGCAGAGGCCATGGGGAGCTTTGCAACCCAGCGCTCAACCGCTGCGCCACCGGGGAGGCCCTATTTTGCATTCTTAATTGCCTAAGTGCTCTCACTCCAGAAAACACCATCACAACCTAGAGATGGTCATCCTGTCTGGGAAGTGGGTCTGCCACAAAACTAGAAAGGACTCCAAAGCCAAGTCAGTTAGGAGAAAGCCACACAGCATAACACACTCAGGACCTCAGATGTGGAACTAGGCTTGTGTACCTCAGTCTTGCTACCTCAGTACATGGCTTCTCCAAGTGCTTCTTGGGAGCCCTGTCACTATTGCAGAATAACTAGTTTGGGCTAAGGAATGCCCCATTCTATTTGGGTGGTCATGAGGAACCCATCAATGACAGTCAAACCAGCCACAGAAACTAGCCTTTCCAAAGGGGCTTAGCAGCTCTGCTGCTTCCTAACCTCCTTGACCATCTGGTAGTGAGGGCCCTTTAGGTTACTAGAGAACCAGTGTAAGGCATTTTCTTTCCTGTCTCAGTTGCTGATGGCCATGAAGATTATACCCTAAGGGTAGATGGTGGTAAGGTGGCTGCTAGTTATCAGTCACCGGGCTCTTCTCCATAGGTTTGGAAGGGCCTGAGGGGGCAGCGGGGAATAAAAATGGTCCCAATTGTGCAAGGCATGGCAGGAGCAGGAAGAGTGGGAACAAACAAGATTCTCGCCCCTTGAAGTCCCATGAGAACTGGAACAAGGCCAGGTACGCCCAGAGATAACTAGCTGTTTAGGTTGGTTCATGTAACTCTTCCTTTGGATAGGCAGTCTTGTCTCAGCTGTTTCAAGTTCAGTTCAGAATCAAAGGTACATAAAGACAAGGCTTGGTGGTAGGGTTAAAAACAAGTCACAGGGAAATGAAGTTGGGGGAGCTGTTCCCAAGGAAATCCAAGAATGAGTCCTAGGCTTGAAGGAAGGGGAGCACTTCCTTCAAGAACATACTTCTCTGGGACTCCCTGGTGGCACAAGGGATTATCTTAGCACTATGAAGCAATCCACAGCCACTGCAGCACCGAGTTCAACCCCTGGCCAAGGAATTAACCCACATGGCGCAGCAGACCTCTCCGGTTTCGCTTGCTGCTCCCGTCTCTGGTGGTCCTCTCACCCCGTGTCCCCAACCTCTGCCCTACACCCAAGCTCTTGTATGCATAAATAAAAAACAAAAACATACCCCTTCCATTCTGAAAGCTAACTTCCTTAATTGGAGATGAGCTATTAACAGGGGATCAAGGCGCTTGCTGCCAGGAGAAAGTCTCCCTTCAACAAGAACAGCTGAAGTGCTAAGTTCTGAGAACTGTAGAAAGAAGCTTTATCATAAGTCTCAAGCAGATGTCTCCACAAAGAAATCCTGAGACTGGCATTGTGTATCCAAATAAAAGGATGCTCTGATTACTCAGATGGAGGTTTTCTTGGAATGAAGGTCAATCCTCAGGTTACCACACCCAGCAAGATAAAAATTGTGGAAGAACACCCATTTCACAGATCATACATATTATCCCCCAGAAAACTCAATTGGTTTTTTCATGAATACCTAGATCTATCTTAAACAATCATATTAACTATTCATATGGTCTGTTATACCCCATCCTGTAAAAAAGTGGCCTAGAGTATAAGGGCTTCTACCTTCTTCATAATGACTTCACTGCAAGCAAGATCCAGTGCCTGACACACAGTAGACTCCTGTTTACCAGACTACAGGGCTGATGGAATGAGAGCCATCAGCTATGGAGATCTTGCTCTATCATAAAATCTTCTTAATCAACGTAGAACTCAAAGGGTGGTCCCATGGCCAGCTGCACCCAGGAAGCCTGTTAAAAATGCAAAATTTCAGAACTTATCCCAACCTACTGAATCAGAAGCCCCAAGGGCCCAGTAACCTATATGTTAACAATCATGCAAGTGATCCAGTTGTGTATGCATTAAAGTTGGAAAACTGCTGTTCTTAATTGTCTTTGGGGGAATTACTCATAGAAGGATGAGGAATCTGTGGAAGGCGGGTTGACTGCATGTTTTCTTATGCTCTAAAAAGAATTTACTCAAGCTTAGAAACCAGTCTTTAGTTTGGATCAAGGATTAACTTTCCTCAGCACCTCCTGGAAAGTTAAGGAGATAGTTGACTTTAGCACTCTATTAGAGGGAAGAATGTGGAACATGTCAGAGGACAAAGCACAACCAGCCTGGCACATTTTCATCATGAGCTGAGTGTTACCTCCTAGCAGACACCATGCTGCTTTTGCTTCACTGGGTAAATAAGCATCTTGAAGGCAACAGCTTATTTTCTGCTCAGGGTTTGTACCTATGTGTGCTCAAAGGTCTTAAGAATATTTATCAAGGTTCATGGAATCACCTGCCTCAAGGCTTTCCTCCTAAACTGCATCCTGACAAACATTCTCTAGCTCACCAAGTAAAACTTACTCTTTTCTTGGAGGTGCCAGGATATTAGCCGTCTTTCCTGGAGAACTTCCATCGATTTTCCTTCACTTTGACCATGGAAATAAATAGTGGGCAAGATACATTTAACTTCATAATCCTTAAGAATCATGAAGGGGGTGGGCCTCCCTGGTGGCACAAGGGGTTAAGCACAGCATTATGAATCTATCCGCAGCTACTGCAGCACAAATTCAATCCTCAGCCGACCAGGGAGGTGACCCACATGTCGCAGCAGACCTCTCCTGTCTTGCCCACTGCTCCCCTCAGCAGTGTATTTCAGTAGAACTGTCTGTTCTGCTCCCCACTGTCTCTGGTGAATCCTCTCAACCCCCACACCTCTGGCCTGTAGCCCGCTTCTTGAATGCATAAATAATCTTAAAAAAAAAAAAAAATCAAGAAGGTGAGCCGTCTGTCAGGAAGTCCTGATTCACTAAACTATTATTAGGACTAGGTGGGGCTTAATATTTAGGGTCTTCATAGGACACATGAAGAACCCGATAAATGAATGCAGAGATTGGGACTAGAATCCAGAAATGATGCTCTATTTATTCAGTGAAAAAGAGGGAGATTTGGTCTTCTTGATCAATTTCCTCCAATATCTCAAAACTCCCTTCATTTTTCCAAAATAACACAATGAGAAACACATTTGTACAAAAAACACATATTATCCCCACCCCCATCCCCCACCCCCGCCTCACAAAATTGGGTGGCTGTATTACAGGAACAAAACCAGATCAAAGACATGAAAACAAAAAGTCACCACTTATACGGAAATACAGTGTTAAGAATTCAGGTATTTCGTAGATTACCAGCATAGTAAAAATATTTCCATCTGGATCTTTTAAATTTGAAATTGATCACATTAAAGACCTGAGGTTACAAGGGACCACAGAATGAACCAGAATTCCATTTTCCTTCTAAGACCCCAGTGGAAAAGGTATTTGGAATGAGTTTCCTTTGGGAAAGACTGGTAGGAAATAAGGAAAACCCTGGCCATTGTCAAAAGGCACTGGGGTCTTGTTGGAGGCAAATGAATTGGAACTCAACTCCAGTAGGAACAAGCTCATTTCCACTCCAAGAGTCCAGAACACATACACAAAGGGAACAAGGTCTCCGTGGTTCCAGTACTCTGATGGTGACCAGGGCCACCTGGTTAGAGGCAACACCTGAGGGTTTGAAAGGCAAATCTTAATTGTGGTTCTATTTTTTTGCTTTCTTATAATAAGGAAAAAAGTTCTAAGGTGTTTTTACAAACACCTCCCTACACCCTCTCATATGTAAAGCTTTATAGAATATATATAGGAAAAGAAATTCAAAAGGTGTTCACCTTGTACTCTAAATAATGAAACTACCTTTTAAGATTATGTGAAGAGGGCAGGTGCTTTGGAAATTAAGCTCTACCAAAAACACTCTTTTCCCACCTGGAAGGTAGAGGGGAGGGAAGAAGGACAAGAGGAGAAACCCAAGAACTTTCAAATCACTCATTAGCAGGGGTGGAAATGGGTTCAAATTAAGGCATTTTTGTGGCTCTCTGGAACAGTATTCCACTCTCCCAGTCAGAGCACCCTAACCCTCAGAGCATGGTGCTTTGTCTGCCAAGTGAGTCCCGTGGTACCTCAGCATTGCCTTGACAACACCATGATAGATGGAATGCATGATCTCAGAAAGGGAAGGGAGAAGGTACTACAGGCTGTTGATCCTGCCCTCCTTCTCCAACCCCACCCCAAAGCTAAAGTACCGCTTCACTAACTTCTGTTCACCCTGGCTACTGCAAGAGGTAGTTTGGGGATTTGTACCCATAGCCATCCTAACCAAGTTCCATGAGCTAAAATATTTAGAACTACTTTTTTTTTTTTTTTCCTTTTAAGAGGATTTTTAAAGAGGGAGATAAAAGAATGCACTCAAAGCAGTGAATAGTAGGCAAGATTAATTGGGTAGCCATTCCTTAAAGTTTTCTGGCTGGTCTAGGTAACTAGGGAACACTTCCCCAAATCCCAGCCCTGAAAGCTTACACTGACCTCAGAAAAACACTCGCTCCCAATCCAACAAACCATCTGCATAGAAAACCAGAACCAGTGGGCCCGAGGAAGGACAGAGTGGGTCTGTTCTAATGCTTGTGCTCTCCCCTATCATGTACTAGAGGAGTATATTCAGCCAGGCAGGGTGGAGGTCCTGCATCATCACTAGGGATAAAATCGGTGGGGTCCCTTTCCCTATCTCTTTTACTTCTGGTGCATCTATGTGTGGCAAGTCTCATGAAACTTTACCATCAGCACCATTCTTAGCTCAGATAAGCAGAAATAAGGTCACTTATAATGCCTTAAGGTTTGTCTCCTCTGGCTATCCCCTCTGCCCATCACCATTTTTTGGTTCTTACTAACTTAGGTTGCACTCCTTTAAAGCAATAAATTCAAAAGAAAAAAGATACTGACTATAAAGTATTATCCATAGAAGCATAAAGGCAAAAACTGCAGGAGAGCAAAATGACAAAGACATAGAATACTAAAATGTTGACAGGACCTGCAGATAAACTGTTAGAGTACCACCCCACCCTCCATACCATGACAGGGGTGAACAGGTTATTTTTAATATGACCTGGGCATACCCATCACCACAGGCTCCCCCAGGGTGCTGGCTGAGGAACTACCACAAAAGGTGTCAAAACATGGAGAGGGGTGGCAAGAGGAATGGGGAGATTTAGGATGCTTGGGGCTGTGAGAGAAAAATCCTGAAAGAAACCCAAGTAAGCTGAGGAACACAAGTCTTGTCATCTCCACTCCAGCTGGTGGTGCTGGGTGGATGGTCCCTGCATCTTCCAGGCTAGGGAGCGGCTGAGGCTGGTGGGCCTGGAGCAGGAGGCGGAGGGACTCCATCTGCAGGTGGTGGTGGTGGTGGCTGCTGCTGCGGTGGAGGGGGATCTGCAAACACATTCAAGAGTAACTTGTCATTGCTGGAAACACAAGGGCTGGAAAGAGCCCATTCAGAGAAAAATGACACGCGGTAATTTTCTTTATGCTAGGTGCTAGTGCAGCCTATGAGACATTGCTGCCCACTGTGGTCTATGTGGGTCAGACCCATTTGAACCTCCAGGTTATTGCTCATCTTGCTGAACCTATTCCAAATGATTGAGGGAAGGAAAATGTCTGAATCAATCCCACAATCCTTTTAAGGCCTACCCCTTCCAAGAATCACTCCAGACCTTTTCAGAACTTAATTATATTTTGATTTTATTGTATTTTAATGGCAATCTTCTAATTTTATTTCTTCAATTAAATGATAAGCTCCTTCCTAGGCAAATTCTGTATCTTCTTTCTTTTCTCTCACAGTGCCCAGTCTAGCTGGGCACAAAAGAGATTATCGGTAAGTTCTTGCTGATTAACTGTCTCCACCAGGGCCAGAGAGCTTCACTTGAGGCAGCTGCTGACAGGTTGGACATTCCTAGGAGGCCCCACAGCTCTTGAACTGCAGTCCTTGGATTTTTGACCAAAACTAGGTCAGGTCCTGAAGGGAACAATTAGTATGAGTATATGGGGCTCTTTCCTATTCAACTTCAATGTACAAAGGAACCCTAAAGATTGTTTAACTCAGGGCTTTTTAAACCTTTAAATTTGTGCCAGAAATGAAAACATATGAAACAAATAATTATTTAAGTGTAACCTTGCTTACCAGTCAATTCACCCAATCTTTTACCCAGGAGGTGTCCACCAAATCCTTAAAGCTCACCAAGAATTTTGAAGCCCTCTGCCTGTGCCATTTTTTCAGGCCCAGTACCCAAGAGCCAAGTCAGAGGTTCACAATCCCTGAAATATTTGTTTGTGGCAGTAAGTGTGTGTGTGGAGGGGGAGACTCAAGCTCTTCACATTTTCAAGTTGCTCCACTGCATGTCCTTTAGGATAGATTACTGCAGTCACAAATCATGGGTGAAACTGGGAGAACATTTTTGCACCCAACACTAATGATAAAGGACTGATCACAAAAATCTGCAAAGAGCTGATGAGACTCAACAACAACAAAGAAAATAATCCAGTCAAAAAATGGGCTAAAGAGCTAAAAAGAAACTTCTCTGAAGAGGAAATGCAAATGGCCAACAGGCATATGAAAAAATGTTCAACATCACTTGTCATCAGGGAAATGCAAATCAAAACTACCATGAGATACCATCTTACACCAGTGAGAATGGCACATATTAAAAAAACTAGCAACAACAAATGTTGGCGAGGGTGTGGAGAAAAAGGAACTCTTCTGCACTGTTGGTGGGAGTGCAAACTGGTCCAACCACTGTGGAGAGCTGTGTGGAGATTTCTGGACCTACTAAACATAGAGCTTCCATATGATCCAGCAATTCCACTCCTAGGTATTTACCCAAAGGACACAGAAACATCAATTCCAAAGAACACCTGCACCCCTATGTTTATAGCAGCACTGTTTACAATAGCTAAGCTTTGGAAACAACCCAAATGCCCAAAAATAGATGACTGGATCAAGAAGATGTGGTACATATATACCATGGAATATTACTCAGCATTCAAAAAAGATAAACACATGCAATTTGCAGCAACATGGATGGCGCTGGAAGGGATCATGCTCAGCGAAATAAGCCAAAAAGAAAAAGAAAAATACCAGATGGTCTCACTCATAGCAGGAATCTAGAAAACTTAAATAAGGGACCAGGAAAACGAATAACTATAAGAAAGTGAAAATCAAAATCAACAAAAAACTACGAACCAGAGACACTTTTAAGGGGGCGGGGGTGGGAGGGGAGAGATTGGGGTCAGAATGGGGGGGCTGCAATTGTATGGGGAATATAAAAATAAAATTTATTATTAAAAACAAACAAACAAACAAACAAAAAAAAACAAATCATGGGTGAGCAGCACGACATGAAGGTGGTAAAGGCCGATGATACTATCTCTGCAATATAGATGGCAAACTGGTGAACTATCTTGGTAGGCCTGAACATGTATTACCTATAAGGTGGCAAGGCAAACATTTTTTTGCCAAGGAAAAGGGGTACCCACTATACTACAGTCTCTGACCACTGAACTCAAGGGAGATAGTTTTTCTTCTATTTTCACGATCCTATGTGACTAGCTAAATTACTTTCTTCTGTGAATGGACTTTGTTCGAGTCCCTAGGGAACCAAAGAGAAATAACACCTTCCGTTGTTCTTACAGCCTATCTTTTCAACCTGGGAAGCGTCCTGGATTACTAGAGTACTCAAGGCATGTCATAGTATTATTAACCTTTGGGTGAATCCTCTATAACTATGTGTTCATTACCTGCTTACCCAACTAAAGCTCTTGGAGGCCAGGAATTCCTATGTGTCCTAGCTTTCTACTGTGGATAGGAGCAAACTCTGTGGCATATACAGATTTCCAAATGAACTGGGCTAAGATGGTGCTGGGCTATTTGGGCCACTACTGACTGCATTTTGGGATCATTCTCACTGAGAAAGTCTACAGGAGTAAACCATAGGGCAGGGCCTCTGAAGCAACCCTCTAAAGTACAGAGGTGGAGGAGAATAAGGGTGCTATGGAAGAAATTATCTGTACATAACATCCTATAGACGTTATGTTGCATATAACATTCTGTAGACATAGCTCACCTGCCTCTGCGCTTTCTCCACTCAGCCTGCTGGGATTTCAAATTCATTCTTCAACACGGTCCCACGGTCTAAGCAGCCACTATCCACTATCAATATATTGGAGTGGCTACAAAAACATATTGGTTATCCCTGTTCTAAACCAGTTCCTATTCTTCCTATTCACCACTTGTGAATTTGATATCCATAAGACTCCTGTAGGGAAATATTGCACCCAGAAACTCTGTATGTTTACCAAGATTCAAACTAGATAGGCTTAAAGTGAGAAAGGAATGCTTTTGGTATGTGACCCCAACTGACTGAAAGCACTTATCACCTGTGCAAACTCCTACTGAGAGTGCTGAAGAGCACCAACAAAAACAGGTCTTTTGGAATCCACTGTCACAGGTTATACTGTCCATGGACTTGCCAAACCACAGACAAGGCAACCAAGACTTCCTCCCTGTTAACAGCCCTCCCAGAGAGACCCTGGGGAAAGGCATCTCTCGCACTGTGCTACTTACACATGCCATTAGGTGCCGTAAGGGGTACCCGGGGTCCTAAGATGTTTCCTGGCATTGGAGGCATACCAGGAGGGGCAGGGCCACTCCCAGAGGGATGGATGTTGGCTGCAACAGTGGGAAGCATGCGACCTGGCATAGGCTGACCAGGCATCATGGAACCTGGTCCTGGTATTTGACCTGTGGAGGAAGATTTAAAGTAGTAAGGTTAGTGTACTAGGAAGAAAGGAATCACACAATGCTCAAGTTTGCTATATATAGACAAATGCCTAGTCCTTCAAAGAATATGAAATACTAACAAGAGCATACATACATATATATATATATATACACACACATACATACACACATATATATAGGCAAGGGCGGTGGGGGAGGGGGGAGGAAGAGAAGGTATGGATAATGGGCAAGTCTGTGTAGTATCTATTCTAAACCCTAGTGTAGGCAGGTAATTTTAAGAAGGAATTATAAAAAAGGCATCCCTAAAAAAAGCGTTAATTCTGGTTAGTTTTGGTGAAGTAGATTGCCAAATACCTTCCTGAGGATACAATGTCAAGCAAGACCACAGGGAATGAAAAGAAGGAGTCTAACAGCAAGTAAGTGCACAGTCCAGGCACTGTGGCTCAGTGAAGATTGAGCTTTCCAGAGAATTTGTGGGAAGGTATGTACAAAAAGCTACTGGTCAGTACTGGGAAATCACCATTAAAAGGTAATACTGATTAGAATTTTCAAGACCTGTTTTCAAAAAAAATCTCTACCTTCACCATGAAGCACTGGCCACAGAGAATCACAGGGGAAAAAAGAGAAAGTCTATTACTTCATTTTTCCTTTTTTTTTTTTTAAGATTTATTTATTTATGCATAAAAGAACTGGGGTACAGGGCCTCCCCTGGTGGTGCAGGTGGTTGAGCGCCACGCTGTGAAGCTCTCTGCAGCTTCTGCAGGCCGGTTCGATCCCGGCTGGCCGGCCGGCGAGGGTCCCAAATGGCACGGCAGACCTCTCCTGTCTCTCCCGCTGCTCCCCTCAGCAGTGTATTTTGTCAGTCTGCCTGTTCTGTTCCCCACTCTGTCTCTGGTGAATCCTCTCACCCTCCATGCCTCTGGCCTGTACCCCGGGGTTCTTGTGTAAATGAATAAATCTTTAAAAAAAAAAAAAGTACTGGGTACAGAGGTGTTGGGGGGGGGGTGGCGAGAGGATTCACCAGAGACAGAGTGGGGAACAGAACAGGAAGACTGACTGAAATACATTGCTGAGTGGAGCAGCAGGCGAGTCAGGAGATGTCTGCTGTGCCATGTGGGTTGATCCCTGGCTGCAGTGGGTTAGGCTGCAGTGGCTGTAGAGAGCTTCATGGGTTGCATTTCAACCCCTTGCGCCACCCCGGGGGGTGGGGGTGGGCCGCCTATTTTTCCTTTTATTTCTGAAATTAATGATAGGCGATGCTACAGACAAGAACTGCAAAACAACTCCAGTATTCAGTTCCATACTGAGACACTAGAACTTTCAGCAAACTTTTTCTGTAAAGAGTGAGACAGTAAATACTCAGGTTTTATTACAGGCCAAATGGTCTCTCTCACAACTATTCAATTTTGCCATTATAGCATGAAGGCAATTAGGGGAGATATGCAACAAATAAGTGTGGCTATGTCCAATAAATCTTTAGTTATGGACTCTGGCCTGTAAATTTTACATAATTTTAATGTGATAAACATTCTTCTTCTGAGTTTTTCTCAACCATGTGAACAATTAAAATTATTCTGAACCTGCAATCTATACAAACGTAAGAAATGGGCCAGACCTGGTGGCAGGTTGTAGTTTGCCAAACCTACCTATTTAGGTCTGACAGTGAATATTTAATGGGTTTTATTTTTTATTATTATTATTTTTAATCTTTTTAAAAAAAGATTTATTTATTTATTTATACATGCACTAGGTACAGTCAGAAGCGAGGGAGGGTGAGAGAATTCACCAGAGTCAGAGCGGGGAGCAGAGCAGGCAGAAGGACCGAAGTACACTGCTGAGGGGAGCAGCGGGCGGCAGGAGAGGTCTGCACGCCATGTGGGACCCTCCTCCAGTGGCCGGGGAGCAGCCAGGGATTGAACCGGCGCTGCAGAGGCTGTGGGCAGTTTCGCAAGCCGGCGCTCAACCGCTGCGCCACAGGGGAGGTCCTATTTAATGGATTTTAAACTCAGTGGCTTGCCTGATGGGCTTGGTGTTAAAGAGCTCCAAAGGAAGAAAAGTTTAATGGACACAAATTAAGGTTGAAAACTCTAATATAAGCAAATTATACTATCTATAGGATAATGAAGGAAAATCTATGCAGTTTTCTTTTTTAAATCTAGGGATTTTAGCGTCTTTGTAAGATCAATTATATGAAAATGAGTACAGGGTTTGAGATGCATTCCTGCAACAGCTGGAAATAAGAACGTTTGTGGTTCAATTTTGGAAAATGTGGAAGCTGGGGTTATCTGATAGCTACAGGCAACTAAATTATATATGGCAGTACTGGAGATACTTAAATGAAAACTTCTGTGTCACTGCTTAAAAAAAGAGGTAAAACAAAGCTTCAAGTCTCATGTCATCTATTTACAGTGGGTCTGTTCCCTATCCCAGGACCCAGAGAAGAGAAGTGCCTAACTAAATATATCAATGAATTCAGAGAAACCTATGATATACAAGGCTCAGTGGGGTGGGGTTGGGGTGGTGTTAATGGTGTAGAAGGGGTCTAGTGTTTTGGGGGACTAATTTTTAAAGAATAATATATCAACATCATTCTAACAAACGGCAGCAAGTTTTTGACCCTCTGGGCTACCTTATTGTATTCTGTAATGCAATCAAGCATGAGCCCAGCAAAGCAGCCCCAGAAGTCCATCTGCTGTAGGACAACTTGGCCAAATCATCTCAGTAAAAGCAAGAGTTGGGGCATCCTAAATGACTTGCCAAAGAACACTAATTTGGGCTGGGGTAAACTGCCCCAAGACTCAAGCTTCTAGAGAGCATCTGCCCTACTTTCACCACATGGATTTCTGTATGATCAGGAGAACTATTTGTTATAGTACCTTATTATATCACTGGTTCCTCAAGTATATTTAGGAAAGGCAGAGCAATTATTTTCATTTTATAGAGTAAACAGAAGCTCAGGAAAGTTAAGAGACTTCTTTATGGTCTTAAGAGCTTATAGGGAAATATAGCCTTGAGTCTATGACTCCAAACCCAATTCTCTTTCTACCACATTATCCTGTGACCTTGCCTCTTCAGCTTTTTTAAGAACTCAATGTAACAATTAGCATTAAACACATACATACACACACACACACACAACAAAAACCTAACATGTATACTTTATTTTTTTTTAGATGATATCACCATGTTTTTTTTAAGATTTATTTATTTATGCATACAAGAGCTGGGGTACAGGCCAGAGATATGGGGGGTGAGAGGATTCACCAGAGACAGAGTGGGGAACAGAACAGGCAGACTGACTGAAATACACTGCTGAGGTGAGGAGCGGGTGTGACAGGAAAGGTCAGTTGCGCCATGTGGGTTGCCCCCTGGTCGGCCGGCCGGGGATTGAACTCATGCTGCAGAGGCTGCGGACTGCTTCATAGTGCAGTGCTGAACCCTTTCACCACCTAAGGTCTATACTTTAATTCCAGGCACTATATTTCCTTCTTTACTACACTGCTCTACTTTATGTGGTAAATAATTTTTTTAAATTTAAGAAACATACATTTTAACATCGTATACTGGGTTAGACGTGGTCTCCAGACAGACATGTATATGTTCTAATTAAGAACCTGCAAACATACCCTTATTTGGAAAAAGGGTCTTTGAAAATGTGATGAATTCAGGATCTTGAGATGAGGCTATCATCCTGGATTATTTGGTAGGTCCTAAGTCCAATGACAAGTATCTTTAATAAGAGACACATGGAAAAGACGATACAGAGAAATGAAGATGATATGAAGATGGAGCAAAGAGGGATATGGCCACAAGTGAAGGAATGCTGTCAGCCACTAGAAACTGAAAAGGCAGGGTCAAAGTCTTCCTTAGAGTCCGTGAAGGCAGCACAACCTTGCTACATACTGAACTTTGGGCACCCATTAGTGTGAGAGTAAGTTTCTACATTCTACATTTTTTTTTTAAAGAATTTGTTTATTTATTCATTTATACAAGCACTGGGTACAGTCAGAAGCACGGGTGGGTGAGAGAATTCACCAGAGCCAGAATGGGGAACAGAACAGGCAGACTGACGAAATACACTGCTGAGGGGCATAGCGGGCGCGGCAGGAGAGGTCTGTCGCACCATGTGGGACCCTCGCCAGCGGCCGGGGATCGAACCAACGCTGCAGATGCTGCGGGCAGCTCTGCAGCCCAGCACTCAATCGCTGCGCCATAGGGGAGGCCCTCTACATTCTACATTTTTAAGTAACCTAAGATGTGAAAAGGGAAGACATAAAAGACTGAACAAATCACCCAATGCCACAAAGTACATAAAGAGGGGAGCCTAGATCTGATCTGGATACTCTGGCTCAGAGATGGTGTGCTAGAAAAAGGGAGGAGGGGTTTCCATGTATATCTTGCTGCCACTAAACTGATGCGTCAGTTAACTGGCCCACATAGTTCAAGAAAGAATGATTCTCCAACCCAGTTGCTGAGTGTCTGTTCCAGCAGATAGGTAAGTATACAAGAAATAATCTAGCAAAGAGTAGAATCAGGCAGATCAACACAGACCCATGAGGTGCTACCTACCTAACACTCACTGGGGACAAACATGCAGGCTCTTGCTGTCAGGTCCAGCAATGATGCTTCCCATGCTACCTGCTCAGTGGCTTATTTTCCTGTAACTTTATGGCAAGAAGCTGGGATAGGACAGTGGTAGGTTATTCCCAGCCCAAAAGCTGAAGAAGGAAAAAAAAAAACAAACACCTTTCCTTTCACTTGCTACAGTTCTGAAACCTTCTGGAAAACAAAGATCACCTATACTGCTTCTACACACAGGGACATAAAACCACTGGCATATGGGTATTTAGGGTATAAGAGGACAATGGCTCCTTGGGAGAGATGGTAGTGCAAAGGGTTAGAGGAAAAATAGCTTATTTCTGCTTATGGGACCTTGCAGAGACAAATACTTCTCAGGAAACCAACAGGTACTAGCAGATACACAGTGAGTCCAGGCCTGC